ATATATATATATATATATATATTATTTTTTTGTGGTGGGTGCACTAGAAAAATCAAATCTACTCAACACAAATGTACTACTTACGAATCATCATCATCATCATATTTTGGCACTCGGTTTTTATATCTATTTTATTTAATCTTTCTTTTTCTTTCCAATCTTATCATCTTTTACATATATCATCGTTTTCTCTTTTCTATGTATCTTTCCACTATACAGCGGTCAAAGGTTTATTATTTCTTATGAAACCTATTATATTCACAAAGTTAAATTTGGAAAAATATTGATCTCTCTTTCATACCAGCTAGCTAGTAGCTACCTTTATGTACCGAAAAAATACCACTACCTACCCTAGTTTTACCAATAATGGTTAATGACTGGTCTTATGCATCGAGGAAGGAAATTTTGGATCATACCAGAGACTCAAAGAATCCAGAAATAAGAACGCATTTGTATCTGCCAATCCAAGTGTCAGCAAGAACAGCCACTACAATGGATAGCATGTAACTAACACCCATGTAATCGGTCAGCATGTTAGCTGCATCTGCTAGTTCATAATGCATTATTCCATTGAAATATGACACCAAGTTCACTGCTAGCGACAGAGTTGCCAAGTTCTCCATAGCACATGCGGCTGCACCCAAAACCAAATAACACTCGCTGCATCAATATTATTTGATTTAAACATTAAACACATCCCAATATGTAATGAAACTTATCCGATTTATTTACCAACAAGGTGTAACAGTGGATAGCATATAATCTTGTTCCTTAACTATATGTTCAAGATTTCGATCTATAGTTTTATGTGTAGGAAAAAATACACCGGTTAAGAGTAGTTAGTATCTCAAATAAAATTTAATACCACGAAAGATTTGTTTCGACTTAAAGATAACTTAGAGCACCCAAAGAAAAAGATTTATATGGCTTTAATATATATATGCATGATTACTGGTAATTAAATTAAGGACTTATCTTTTTCTGTTTTTTTTTTTCTTAGTGGTAACCACGGTATCACTTCAGGAATGAGTTCCCTTATTGCAACACCATTTCTCAAACTAGACAGTGACTCCAAAAGGAAAAGGAGTAAAAAGGTGAAAAAAGTATTCATATGTTTTTAGTCTTGGTTGGTATTACCTAGTACGAGCAATGAAACTTGCATCCCCCCATGTTTGTGTTTCAAAGCTTTTCTTCCTCTCCAATCAACTTTTCCATCAACCAGCTCTGCTTTCTCCTCCTCCTGTTGCATCCATTCCACATTCCGATCAACATGGTTTTCCTGCATGCAAATGATGAGCTGAATAAGTAAGTGGCATGCATGCAAGAAACTTGAAAACGGTTAGGCACATAATTAGGGTGCATGCATGCATGTAAAATAAACAAAGCAAAAATAATGAAATACCATGATTGTGCAGAAAACTTTTGAATAGCCAATTCGAAAAGAAAAGAACTTAAGGGAAAAAAAGTATAGTAAAACACAATTGGGGAAAGAAAACCATTCTCTTCCCTATATATACTTCCAAGTTAGCAGTATAAAGATAAATATGCACGCACCAAATGCGTAATGACTCATAATTCAATCACCATCATACATTGGCTAATGACCGATTCTACGGAAGGAAAATGCACTGTTCTTGTTTGATTGCGAAATTGAATTTGCCGACTCTAGAACAGTAAGATTCTATATGCTGCTTTTCTATCAGCAATCAGCATCAACAACAAGCATAAATGTCGAGAACAAACTAGCTATGTCCGGTTAATTTCCTTATTTAATTATCTACTTCCCAACGTTCTTTATCATCTAAGTAACTAATTAATCATGTTTTAGCATACGTCACAAGACTAAATTCAAGTTTTGCTTTCAGTTTAAATATATTTACAAAAATGTGTTAATTAGATATATATTTTTTAAATTAATTATGTCATTATTAATACGTAAAAGAAGTTATGCTAAAAGTCTTTTATAACATAGACTTTAGACAAAATAATCTATAATTTAACAATATTTTCAAAATGCTGCTAACTAATTAAAAGAACTCTTTGTTGTTAACACGCAGAAATAACAAGTAAAAGTACTACGTGGTGAGAGGGACCATTTTAAAAAAAATTAAAATTTCATAAAAATATTGTGGTCCAATCTCATGATAAATTTAAAATTACGATGCTACAGTAGAAGATAGGATAAATTATTTTAGTTATTAAAGAGAATAGTAAGTTTTTTAATCTAAATGACAATAACAATACTAAAATATGAATTTTAGATCAGAACATACTATCTTTAACTCTTCATTATTAAGTCGACATTAGTGACTCATGAGAAAATTATATGTGCATGCGTAATAAATCTAACATTATTAATTAATTTTTTTATCAATAACTAAAATTAATTACTTTATTGTTCATTCATTTCGGAGGAAATAAATCTAACAGCTGATTGGACAAAAATAAAAAAATAAATCTAGCTAACAGCTGATGGATACATGGTTATTGGAAGAAGTAGCTTATATTAACATTTGAAATCTTCCATGTACTTATGCATGTAATAACCAAAGCAAATCATCAGCAAGAAACAAACATGGGGATAATCCAAGAGGTTTCCAACACCTGAGTGTATGTATTCAACTATTTTCCCCCTCTCTTGCAACAACTCCAGGCTACTTTTTTAATCTTCTTGTTCGGAGACCGTTTATTAAAAAAATGGCACCACTTGCTGAGAAAAACTGTTCAGTATTATTATATTAAGTTAAAATGTCCCATGTACGTATCATGAGTGTCACAAAGAAAAGAAAGTTGTGTTGTCACATTTTACATAAAATCTAAAAGAGTGGCAACAGATCGATATACATCATATATAGATGATGGTGAAGATATCAATGATTATTCTATTTTTAAGGTGGGATCGTTAGTTGTCACTTCGAGTCACTCGTTGATGTCTTCAATCTATTACAAATTCAACTGGCTAGCCGGCTAAGTAATATAGTGTATGGCGGCGCACGAGTTCACTTCAAAATGTGGTGTCATTCATTTGTCATACTTGATTGCTTCTTTACTCCTCACAAGCAATTGGATATAATTAGCTATACCTGTAATTAATTTTTTGGGAGCTATTTAATTTGTACGGGATATAGATGAAATATTATATTACTATTTTTTTTTACATATAAATTTAAATAAAATGTATCAATTAAATGAAAACCAGTTAAGAAGAATAATAACATATTTTTCATCATTAATAATAACTATTTATTATATTAAATAATAACAAATTAGAGATATAAGACTTTTAAAATTGAGGGAGAAAGTATATATGAAAATATAAATCATTTGAGTTAAGGCACGTTATCGATCATTATATTACTTATACTGTTTCACGCGAATGTAGTCATCATTGTCCACTTGTGTTTTTCTCGAGTGACGAGTCTAATGTTCTATATCTCTTTGTTATGGAGTATTCGTGGTATGCATATTTGAAGTTATAATGGTTGGAGTTGTATCATATTAGATAGAATAGTATATAATGAATAGTACATAAGTAATAATGGATTATAATGGTTGGAGTTGTATCATATTAGATAGAATAGTATATAAGTAATAATAGATCTACTTAAAAAACTTAAAAATCGTGGGGGAAGTTTTACTAATTTTTATATAATATACGTACATATTTTACTATAATGCTTCATAGATAATATATTGTTTTAAAAATAAAAATTAAATTTTGATAAAAATAAACATGTAATATTTAAGTAATATATTTAACTTGCTGTAAAAAAAAAGTAACATACTTAGACTTTTGAAAGTCTTTTATAATATATATATATATATATATATATATATATATATATATAATGTCCTCATATATAATGTAATATATTTAGAAAATAAAAGTCAAAATTTTAGAAAACCGAAATTTGCAACATACTCATTTATCTTTTTTTTTTTAAGCATGCATAGTTAAAATTTTTTGAATAATAAATGAGTTCTATGTATCTTTCTCACTCACAATTATTATTATTTTTTTCTCTTTATGAAGTATTAATGTATTTTTTTTCTTTTTTGTTAAATTATTCTTAAGTGATCCCTAAATGTTATATTTTTTTCTTCTGATTTTGTCATGATAATTTTTTTTTTTTTTTTGTATTAGCTAGATAGTTAAAAATTAAGTATTATTTTTTCATTATAAAATTACACTCTTGTTTTTAAAAGAAACATGATATCATGTGAAAATAAATTAATTGTAATTATATTTATTTTGGTTGTAGTAATGAAATAAAAATTCATAAAAAAATTATATATAATTAATAATTATATATAATTTATAATCATACTTTCATAAATGATAAGTAATTAATATTTTTAATACTATAAATTTATGTATAATTATTGTCTCCACAACATACAGTTTTTGGATTTGTCACTATATATAAATACGAAAGAAAGGTTTATCAACTTAATATTTTAAAATTTTAGATTATGATATAATGTCAAATTCACTTATATAATTTATTAATTTTGGTGGTCAACTCTCCAATAATAATAATATTATTTTTTAATAAATAAAATTTTCACCATTAAATATCTTAAAGCCTGCTAATATCATAAGTCATTGATCCTTCAAAGTTTTAGGTATTGTTAAAATAATTTTGATTCTAAAAATTATTGGAACGTATTCGCGATGATGATTGTGCAACAAAGAAGAAAAATATATTTTGATGGTTTCTACAACAAAGACAGGATATATATCAAAGGAAAAAAAAAAGCGTTTGTGAAACTCTCAATTACTTTAAGTTCAATTCAACCACCAATGTTTATTCAAAATGGAAGCAATAGTTTAATGGTTCTCTGAGATATACAATAGAGTCTCCTAATATAATTAGTACACCTACAAAAGTTTATATAGTTTAGGATAAAACGAAAATCAAATCACATAAAGGTTTTATAGAATGATGTTATATATTAGGATATTATTGTATTTAATTTAATTTTATTTTATTTTTTCTAAAGTAAAATAATTTGATGACAATTATAAAATCATTCTTAAAATTATTATATTATAAAGATGCATCTCTTTATACCTTTGAAGACATGATGAAAAATATTAAGTCTTCATTTTGTTCTCTTTAGCTATTTAATGATAGTTTTCTTAGCATAACAGTGGGTATATATAGTACGTGATTTCACTCTATCAATGTCAATGATAGTTAATAAAATAGTGTTTTCCTCAATTATCTCTATACACATGTGAAGAAAAAAAACAATTGAAAAAATAAAATAAAAATTAATTAATTTCTAAGTTATTGTTGTGTCATTATATATTATGTCTTTTGACAAAAAAAAATACAACTTAAAAATATACATTCTTTTATGAAAGAACACACATTTTCATTAACGATAAAACCTTTCATATTTGTACCTTTTTTTATAAATAGATACAATCATACAAGTTTTAAATTTATATCTTTTTATAGACACATTTGCATAAAAATAATAATAATTATTATTATAATAATAATAATAATAATAACCTTTCATTTAATTTTTAAAAATCTATCGCAAAAGTGAAAATAAAAATCAAGTGTGTCCAAATGCTTACGTAAAATAAAAACTTCACATGGATTTCTTGAAAACTATATCTCTAACTTAAGCCATTACAAGGAAAAGAAATGTACAGTCCTCTACTTCTAACATACATTGGACAAACAACATAAAGTACAAGCCTCTAATTTTTCACTTGTTTTATATCAAGCTAAATCTTTATTTCCCAGTATTCAATCATCTGAATTGCCACTGGTAACTGCAGGTTGTTGAGGCCTGTACTTGTACCTCTTTGAAACAAACAAATAGACAAAGAAGTTGATCAAGCTCAATATGGCAAGCAACAAGTAGAACAGGTTCAAGTGGTTTCTGTTAATATTGTTCCCTGCTAACCATCCTCCACTTGCAGTATTCTTGGTGGCACTATTCACGATTTTCACCATTATGGAACTTAGAAAATAGCCAAGGGCCATGGAGCACCAAAGGAAGCATGTTGCTGTGGACTTGAGGCCTTTTGGTGCCTCTGAATAGAAAAACTCAAGTAACCCCACGTAGGTAAACATGTCAGCTATGCCAAATACAAAATACTGAAAAGTGAGCCAGAATATGCTCAAAGGCAATGGCTGTTTTACTGGCAATGCATCAAGCATGTTGTTGTCTCTTGCAACTCCTTTTCTTTTGACTTCTATGATTGCTGCAATTGCCATGGAGATGGAAGAGAGTATTAGGCCTACTCCTATGCGCTGCAAGTGTGTGATGCCAGTGGAAATGCCAGTGAATTTACGTAGAAAAGGCACACAAATGCGATCATAGAAAGGGACAAAAATGATTAAGAATGCAACTGGGATGATTGGTATGGATGCTGGTGGGATCTTGAAATGCTTGGCGATCCTAGGGTCCATGGTGGAGCCTTGCTGGATAGAGAAGGTTTGGAGTTGTGCTAAGCAAAGGGTCATTATGATTGTGCAGCAGAATATAGGGAGCATGCTTAGAATGAGTTTTGCATTTTCTACTTGTGTCACTCTGCATACTTTCCACGGATTTGGAGTCTCTTGGTTCTCAGGTTGCACATCAGATCTTCTTTGGATAGCTGCTTTGTCCAAAAACCTGTGAAAAAGGAACTTTAAGCATTAGAACTAGCTATATACGTTGGAATTGGTGTGGTATAGTAGGTAGAAGAAGCATCTTGATTTATATACAATGAAAACTAAGACCTTTTACTCTGACCATGCATCAGGTTTAGTACTTATCTACAAGTAACATATATGGTCGCAAAGTGAGATTGGACCTGAAAATATCTCTATGGGGTAGATACTCTATTTCTACTGCAGCTTCCTTGTCCTGTTTAATTTCGTATAGTTCTATAGGATCTGCTGGAAGGGGAAGGTTTCTGTTGCGAATTGCAGCAACATAGACCTGAAAAATAGAAAGCCAAGTATTTAAATCAAACAGCTTTATCAATGCAATATCAACCTTACATACTTCAATATATTGTTACATCTTTTTAAGAATGTGAAATCTCCAACACATTCTCCCAATCACACATTTGTAAGTGGTCCAATAACAAATATGATACATGTGACAACAATTGTTAAGATAAGATCTAAACTATTATAGATTGGACTAAACTTTACAAAATAAATTATAAAGTAAGAGTTGTCTTTCATGTATATATATTATTTTGATCTTTATCACTGATAGACAATGGTAGAAAAAGTATCATACTATAAGTGAATAAAAATAGAATAAATAATATATGTAGTATGCAGAACAAGAAATGGTTTAAAAAAGGGTACGTACGTGTATGATCTCCATGATGGGGTTTGATGTATGTGCAAGATGAATTCGGTATAGTGGCAATCCAAAGGCAAAGATTATGGTTCCCAAAACAATAGAAACAGTGGAGATTCCAAAGCCCCAGTCCCAACCATTGTTGTCTTGTATATACACATTAAACGTTAAGCTGATTGCACCACCAATGCAAAGTGCTAAGAAGAGAGCATTGAAGAAGGTGGACATTTGCATTGCTTCTTTGGGGTCTCTTTCATCGAACTGATCGGCACCATGTGATGGCAAGGAAGCCTTCAAACCGGAACTGCCAAAGGCCAACAAGTAGAGGCCAATGTAGAGAAAAGCTTCTTGGTTGCCACTAAGCTTTTCACAATGTGCATCTTTCTCGTACAAGTTGCAAATCGCTGGCTTCAGGCTACCCATGCGTGCCTGTATCGTAAGCAATGCAAGTCCCTACAACAAACTCCGGCTTCTGTAATTTAATATGTTTTACGTAGAAATTCTTTTGGTTTTCAACATGTTTTTAGTTCTTCAGATACGAACCGTATAATTTATATTTAGATCTTTAAATTTAAAAATTAATCATTAGTTTGAAAGGAAAAAAAGAAAAAGCTTATTCTGGTTTTTCTTTTCAAACATCAAATCTATAAAATAAAAATCGCCTTTAACAAATTTTTCACATAATGTTTACCTTTTAAAGTTTTAGAAAGTAAAAACAATCACATCAAAAAAAAATTATCATTAAACCCTAAAACATTTAATAAAGTTTTAAAAAAAATTGACTACATCTTTTTTCTTTATTCTTGTTTTGTATAATTATTTTTTATATAATTAGGATATATTATTTTCCTTTCACCAAACCAATCCAATTAAAGATAAAATTAGTATTGAATTTATGTCCAAGTTGAAAATTAAATCTAAAAAAATATAAATATCAAATCACCTTTGTTAATTAATAGCTTTGATTATTTGTATAATTTTTAAATGGTTTAATTATCTTTTTTATATAGTTTCATGAAATTAATTTAAATTCTTTTTTTAATAAAAAATATTAGTAATTAGTGAGTTATATTTTGTATTACTCTAATCTTATGTCTCTCTCTTCACACCAGTCAAACCTCCTTATATATACTAGTTCACATTTTAGTCCCTTTAACAGTAAAATACAAGAACAGAAGAAAAATAATATGCATAAAGACTAAAATAAAATATTTTTAACTATAAAAACTAAAATGTAAAACTTAATCCCTCGAAACCAAAACGATAATTAAACTTTTTCATATGTATTTGGGCTGAAGGACTAAAGGCCAGGATCTTCTGTTCTGGGTTAGTATGTCTCATTTGGGCTTAATCTAGGGATAGGATAAGCTAGCCATTAAAGGGGTAATACTAGATGTGTTGTCTGAAACTACTCGTTTACTTCAGTACAGTATACGAAGAGTGTGAAGAGTTAAATCACCACAACATGATTAAAAAGCGAGTCAACTTAACTTAAATTTGATAAATCAAAAAACATATGATTTATTTTATTTATAATTTTTTTTAAAATGACAACAGTTCAAACCAAAACCTTGTATATACTACTTTAATTTCACCACTAGGCCCACCTATCGATTCAAAAAAATATATAATTTAACTCAACTAATCAGGAGTTAGTAATTAAATTAGGTGAATAATAATCTGATTTACGAGTTGATTTACTTAATTTTAAAAAATATAAATATAAATACAAAAAACTACCTTTACCAATAATGATTAATAACTTTAACTAATGAGAAGGTAATTTTGGATCGTACCAAAGACTCAAAGAATCCAGAAATAAGGACGGATTTGTATCTTCCAATCCAAGTGTCAGCAAGAACAGCCACCACAATGGATAGCATGTAATTAACACCCATGTAATCGGTTACCATGTTAGCTGCATCAGCTAGTTCATAATGCATTATTCCATTGAAGTATGTCACCAAGTTCACTGCTAGTGACAGAGTTGCCATGTTCTCCATACCAAATGCCACTGCACCCAAAAACACTTTCTGCATCAATATACAATGACCACCAAAAAACACGAGTAGTGTATATGCACAAGGCAGAATTAATTCCTTTAAACATTAAAGACTCTACAGTTTGTAATGAAACTTATATGATTTTATATATACATATGGTTAAAAATTGGTCATTAAATAAAGGACTTTTGTTTCTATGGTATCAATCACTTGAGAATTAGTTCCCTTATTGCAACACTAATTTCTCAAACTAGACAGTGACTCTTAAGGTGAAAAAAGTGTTGATATGTTTTTGTTTTGGTCTTGGTTAGTATTTACCAAGTACGAGCAATGAAACTTTGATTCCCCCATGTTTGTGTTTCAAAGCTTTTCTTCCTTTCCAATCAACTTTTCCATCAACCAACTCTTCTCTCTCCTCCCGCTGCATCCGCTCCACATTCACATCAACAATACGGTTTTCCTGTGTTCAAATGAATATGTGAGTAACAAAGGGTGCGTGCATTGCATGTAATATAATTAAAGTTATAAACAAAGCAAAAGTAATGAAATACCATGATGGCTCTAGAAATTTTTTGAACAGCCAATTCAAAAGAAAAGGAAAATACAACAGGGGAAGACCATTCCCTTCCCTATATATACTTCCAACTTAGCAATATAATTATTCATACCAAAAATATATACCTCATAATTAGGTCTCTATCATATATTAGTTGTGCAGAAGAAGAATGCACTGTTCTTGGTTGATAGCGACATTGAGTTACATGGAATCAGAATAAGAACGATTCTAACGTAGTTTTCTATCAGCATCAGCATTAGAAACAACCATAATGACGAGTACCAAATGGCAACATCCGATTAGTTACCCAATTTTCTCATTTAATTGCTTACTTCACAGGGTTGATTATAATCTAAGTTCAATTTTGTAAAAAATTTACTTCCAGATTTAGGATATTAATTTTACGACTAATTTATATCTTTATCAAGCAAGGCACGCAAATTTTATGGAAAACTTCTTGAATTTCTGAATTGTTTGACACAACACATCTCATTTATTGTACGTACCAAATAAAGGATATACGTCATCTATATTTGGAAAGTGATTCAATCTGCATCAATTTACAAGTTCTAATGGGATTTTTTCTAATAAAAAATATAGGAATTTCACACATATGTAAATTACATTATATATACATGGGAAACATTATAATATATTGGTAAGTCTGCTTTTTTGAATTTGATAGCGAATAGGTTGGTACAGTTGTTAGATAATCCATGTTTGCAGTGAAGATGATATATTGGTTTCTAAAATCTAAAATAACTATATTTCTAATTCCAACTAGCTTTTCAAAATTTTGTTTTGCATGATGATAACTTCATGTCACATTATAAAAAAAATTCATGTAATGACACATCTTATAACAAAATTATTTATTATTAAAAATTATTTTTATTTATACTATAAATATAATTTATATTGATATATTGTTAAAAAGTGTTGAAATAGGTTATAGTAACATATAATTTATATGGTTGAATCTCATTCAAAATCAATACTAAATTATATATATATATATATATAAAATAAAGAACTAAAAATGTAATTTAGAAAAAAAAATGATAAAAAAAGAAGAAGAAAAATTAACAGCTTCTTGTACGATGTTTTCTG